CCTTCGAACATGGAAAGTGCCGAGCACTGCTCGACCACGGGGGGGGGGATATATTCACAGAGATGTACACTGGTTCTCTGTTTATACACGTAAGAGTTGACGTTAGCCTTTAACAATATTCAACACTTAAGTATACTTGCTGGTTGGTCAGTAAGCTTTGTTTCAGGTTTAGCATTCCTTCCCTGGTTGATAGGCTAAAGTCTTTATAAATATATATATAAATATTTATATAAAGTAAATTTATATAAGTCTTTATATAATATTCAACCAAATGAATTCGAGAAATTACACCAATGTGTACTTCGGTTTCAACTCTTTTTAACCCTGTCGTAGCTCAGTCGATTAAGGCAGTGTCTGAGATGCTCCCGGACGCAGGTTCGAATCCTCGTCACGGCCCTTGTGGATTTGTTCATTAGTATTCGAGAAATGTTTAAATGGAAACAGATGCGTCGTATACATCTTTGTCTTTCGTTTATGAACTAGACGGCGGCTGCCAGATTAACGAGCGTTGACCAGTGTCGTTGAACATGTGCTGGCTTTTGATACAAGTGACTGGGATAGAAATGCAGAAAACGTGATTGCTCGATGCGTATAACAGTGCGTAATTATCTAAGTGTAGTTACAGGATGAGAGCTACGTTCGTGGTGTCCCGTCTTTCCAGTACTCTTTGTTTTATAAGCCATATAAGCCTCTTTTCATATATTTGTCACATATGCCTCATGTGTGCATGAGGAAATGACTGAGTGTATGAACGAAACAATGAGAGCTAAAAAATAGTAAACAAGTGAGAAAAAACACATTAAAATTCTGTATACACAATACAATAAACACCGTTGCCTCGCCTCTGTGTTTCACACCTGTCACAGCTCCCGTCCATCAACTACACATTACCTGCTCAAGCAAAGGTTGAGTCTGCTACAATTAGATGTTCGAGGTTGTACAAAAACTCGTTCCTCACAAGCCTTATACTCACCGACCTTCACTTGGGGGTTGTTTTTGCTCACACAACAGTTGCTCACAGAAAAGCCCATATATAAGCATTGATTTAATAAGTCTGTTAATGCTCATGGATAGCGCCTTATCGCGGAAATTACAGTTGTATATCGGCTATAACTTTCTCTTTCAGACCTTTGGACCCTCTCTCCCTCCTCTCTCCCTCTTCTCTTTCTCTCCTCTCTTGCTGGAATGGAAGTCGATAGGGATGTTCTCGGTAGAGTTCTCCCTTCCCACTGCCTTACCCATTGTTTAACTGACATCCTTTTCCCTATTATTCCACCCCCTATTTCTTACCTTATTACCCATCTATTCCTTCGACACTTCACCTCACCCCAAACAATATCACCTATTTCACATGTGAATTTCACCTGTATCCACATGATAGATGATGATGGAGATGGATGGTAGAGAAATAGGTCACATCACCTGCCTCTCAAGCCGGAGGACTCAATGGCAGATAATTAACAGGAAAATGTTCCGTTAATTGTAGGACAAAAGCCAGCAAATAGGCTGGAGTTAGGAGCGGGATTTCCTGTATTTGAGGTGAACTGCGTCGAGCCCTCTAGTGCCGGTGTTGCCCTCAGCCACCCACACCACCCAGTGTGCACGGCAAAACAATAAATAAAAACACCACGCAAATTTACACTATAATTGATGACTTCAAGACGTCCAGATATAGCTAATTTGTGTCATTATAGTCACTGAAAATGAGTGACTATAATGACTCGGACTAATCACTGACTGTGACACCGTAGCATGTGACACATCATGTGACACTGTTTCATGACACACCTTAGCATACGACACTACCATGTGACTCCGGAGCCTGGCAGAGTCTAGTTAACAAAGATTATCTAGAATTTAGGTATTCAGTGCAATTATTATGCAAGCGATGTTCTTTACAAGCGACAGGAGGTGACCGCGGGGGAAAAACATGCTTTGGCGCCGGAACGACGAAACCATTTGTGCCGTATAAACAAACACACATCACATTCCTGTAACATTTAGGTTAGACTGACCATCCCGACTCAACCTCCAGCAGTCATGAGGACCAGACGAAGGGTAACTGTTCTGCGGAACATGAGGAGAACAGAACAGTAATTGTTCATTTTCGGGTTGAATAGCTTTAGTCTCTCGCGTGTCAGTTTCCAGAGGAAGAACTTTACGAATAATCTCAGCATTCATCTTGGTCAATCTGGGGGAATTGGGAAGAGATAGCTTTGGGGGAAGGGGGCAGAAGGATGTATATATATATTAACCTAATCTAAGTGAACTCTCTTTTGGCTTCTACACAACGAAGGGATTCAAGAACTAATATTTTAGTCAATGTATAAACTTTGTGACGTCATGCGAATATGTTGAGCTGACTGGTGGACGAAAAAGTTGACCACCTCTCGCTACCTTTTTTTTGTTAATCTTGCTCACTATCCTCAACCCTAACACGTGGTCGTTCCCTCTCCTGCCCACAGCATTCCACCCTTTCGTGGTGGTCGTTCCCTCTCCTGCCCACAGCATTCCACCCTTTCGTGGTGGTCGTTCTCTCTCTCTCTCTCTCTCTCTCTCTCTCTCTCTCTCTCTCTCTCTCTCTCTCTCTCTCTCTCTCTCTCTCTCTCTCTCTCTCTCTCTCTCTCTCTCTCTCTCTCTCTCTCTCTCTCTCTCTCTTTCTCATTGCCTTCTTTTGGTTGGATATAAATTTTGAGTTGCCTCGTATGGGCCAAAAAAGGCCTTCTGCAGTTACCTTTATTCTTGTGTTCTTATGTTCCATCCTATCGTTACCGTCCCCTTTCATGCTCCCATTTTCTCACTCGCTGCATGTAACTTCTGTCTTCCTAGTTTTGCCCCGTCTCTTTTTCTCTAACATTGCTGTCTGTCTATGTTCCTATTTCACTGCTTTCCCTCATCTTTCATCCAATCTCTTCCTCTAACCTTTGTTGCTGCTGCTACTCCTGTCACTGCCCCACTTGGGTGTATAGAGTACTTGGCCATAGCCGCGCTGAAGTATATAGAGTACTCGGCCATAGCCGCGCTGAAGTATATAGAGTACTCGGCCATAGCCGCGCTGAAGTATATAGAGTACTTGGCCATAGCCGCGCTGAAGTATATAGAGTACTTGGCCATAGCCGCGCTGAAGTATATAGAGTACTCGGCCATAGCCGTGCTGAAGTATATAGAGTACTTGGCCATAGCCGCGCTGAAGTATATAGAGTACTCGGCCATAGCCGCGCTGAAGTATATAGAGTACTTGGCCATAGCCGCGTGAAGTAAATAGAGTACTCGGCCATAGCCGCGCTGAAGTATATAGAGTACTCGGCCATAGCCGCGCTGAAGTATATAGAGTACTCGGCCATAGCCGCGCTGAAGTATATAGAGTACTTGGCCATAGCCGCGCTGAAGTATATAGAGTACCTGGCCATAGCCGCGCTGAAGTATATAGAGTACTCGGCCATAGCCGCGCTGAAGTATATAGAGTACTTGGCCATAGCCGCGCTGAAGTATATAGAGTACCTGGCCATAGCCGCGCTGAAGTATATAGAGTACCTGGCCATAGCCTTAATTGATATATATTTTACTCAGCCATAGCAATGCACAGCTGTAGAGTATTTGGACCATAGATAGACGAACTTCTCCCTTGCCAGGATGAGTTTTCAATAACCTCACAGAGAAATCACATTATCGTCATATATCAATAAACAAATCAACAAGATCCGCGATGAGGGTTCGAACCCTCACCACGGCTTCTGTGGATTTGTTTTTTGGTTTTAAATAACCATTTCAATTCAGCTGAATCCTATAAACACTGCCTTGTTAAGGGTGGATTTTGATGTTAGCCAATGCGTCAATACGCAAGGAATCATCATATCATTTTTGCATTAACTAGTCAGGAGCTCCAGCGCATGTTGTCTCGTGGCTAACAAGGTGGGTAGGCACGTGGAGGCTTCAGTATGGCGTGACTGAAGGTGATGATTTAGCGTGAGAGCTTGACAAGAGATTAACCCTTTGGCCTTGTTTCTGCTTCCTCCTCCTTGAAGAAGCCTAACTGTCCATATTATGCAAATATCCTCTCGTTCAATTTACCAGCATAAATATGCAATAATGCGATGGAATCGCTAGATATTTTAGACAGGTTTTAGACAGGACAGGTTTAGATTCACACAGTAAACAAACGACAGGAGACTCCACTCCCAAGCTCAGCAACAGAGGTGGAGTGTGGCAGCAGCCAGTACCGGGTTCACGCTCCCTTCATCCTCTGATACCTACTTACTCGCTGGCATTGAAGTCTCCAACATTGCTTGTTGGATTTACCCTGATGTTGTGTTGTCCTTTGCTGTCTGTAGGCTTATTATGCATCGTTTGGTTGTATTAAATGTATTTTACTGTAGCAGTGTATGTGTGTATATTATATATATATATATATATATATATATATATATATATATATATATATATATATATATATATATATATATATAGGAAAACTTGGCTTATTAGGCAAATCGGGCCTTTAATAGTAGGCCGAGAAGTGCGTTCTGGCTACTAGGTACGACATATATATATATATATATATATATATATATATATATATATATATATATATATATATATATATATATATATATATATCTGCCAAGGGGTATAAGCATGGCCAGTACCGTACACTCTTGTCTTCCTTATTGTCCTTAAGTTGGTTGTGTAGGTTTTTACACCTCAGAGATCTGCCAGTGACGTCATATATTACGCATCTGGGAACTCACTGCCATGGCTCCAAGATTTTAAGTTTTTACCCATTCCTTTGATATGTTGTGTATTACGCTATACTTCATTGCCTTTACAACACACGTAGAGATAATATGTAGCGTTCAGGTAGAAAGTTTTATATTGATTTTAGGAAAGGAAAAATGTTGTTCCTTACACAGACACAGTCTGGCAACCGTGGGGGGGAGTGACGTAAGGAGCTGGCCCTCTGGCGGCGATGTTGTTGGTTATATAAGATGAGGAGGGCGAGACAGAGGCATTCTTCTCCTCTCGACCTCACGACGTCAACATGAAGTTTATGGTGAGCTCCTCTCTCCCTTACTAGTGTATTACTGACTTACGTGTTGCTTCTCGGGGTAATATTGTTGTTCTCACGTATAATTCGGTTATTAATGACGCGATTCTTGCCATTTGGGTTTATAACGGGGGATAATTATCATTCAGACCCCCTGGAACTTTACCGGGATACTAAAACACGTTGTTTACAAGTTGAAGCTTTGTTGTATAATTAACTTGGCGTGTTGACGAAGCTTGGGAGTGTCGGGAAGCTGAGAAGCAGCAGAGCAGCGGGCAACTGCTGTGATTATCTGTTGTTGTGTTGATGGTTTATAAATTATAATTTTCTTTTTATATTTATAGGGAACGAACGAATAGACTAGAGTTAATTATAATCAATTTTTCATACATATTTATATCCGTAAAATGAGTACATGTTTCAAACTGCAGTTTCGTGTTCCATTGGAGGTTTAGTGTTCAACTAACTTCGTGTACCACTGGAGGTTGTCGCTTTTCACTTTATTCCACTGAAACTTTCGCGCTTCACTGGAGGTTCCTTATTCCACTGAGGTTGCCTGCAGCTTTGGAGATTCCGTCTTCCACTGAAAGTTTCTTGTACCACTGCAGGTACTATGTACTCTTGCAGGTACCGTGTACCATCCAGGTACCGTGCATCCCCCCCCCCTGTAGGTACCATGCAGGTACCCCGGTTTGTACTTAACATACACCATGAACAAGAGACGTGACCTGTACTTAAGAGAGATAAATCAAATAACTTTACTCCTTGTACGGGCTCCTGAAGCTTCCTCTCAAGGAACCGTTAAGTGTACCTTAGAACTGCCTCGTTTTCTGCCACATTTTTGTACAAGCTTGAAGGACTGGAAGCATTAAGACATATTAACACCAATAACTGGAGGAGCTGGAGGTACCCACAGAAATCCCAATAACGTAATATATCAAATGAACAAATCCACAGAGGCCTGAAACAGCCCTTGGCCCTTGTGGGTTTGTTCATTTAATATATATGACGTTACGGTTATATATATATATATATATATATATATATATATATATATATATATATATATATATATATATATATATATATATATATATATATATATTATATATATATGTGTTATATATATGTTATGACGTTATATATGACAATACTGTGTGTATTGAAGTACACACAGAAATCACAGTACAGTCAGAGGTAGAACTATTTTAGGTTGACGGAGCCCAAGTGTATGGGGGGAAAATTGTGTGAAACACCGGTTAGGCTTCAGTGGAAGCCTCGGGATTCTCGTGAGTGCAATTGCACTCCAGGTTGCAATTCTTTTGACCATGATGTGGTACAGTTGACTAGAGTACGTCTCGGAACATCCAGTGCATAGATTCGAACCCACATCAAGCCCCCTTGTGGATTTTGTACACTGGTACTGAACGAGATGGTGGAATATAACCAGTCGAATATTAAGAAAAATCAGATCAATTGCCTTGAACTGTTGACTGAAGTATGTCAAAGGAACTCATGGCTGAGATCTATAAACATATGTAACAGAAACGATGTCACCAATATTGACTTTAATAAGTTCGTATATACCTGGGAAGCAAAGTGCAGGTGATGAGTCACAATAACGTGGCTGAAGTAGTTTGACCAGACCACACACTAGAAGGTGAAGGGACGACGACGTTTCGGTCCATCCTAAACCATTCTCAAGTCGATTGTGACGGCACAATCGACTTGAGAATGGTCCAGGACGGACCGAAACGTCGTCGTCCCTTCACCTTCTAGTGTGTGGTCTGCTCAAACTGGGAAACAAAGCCGGGGGGAAACTGTACATTAATGTATACTATACACTCGATAAGGGTTCCAGGATTTACCACTAGAACGATTACTATAAAAGTTGAAAATGAACGATATTAGATATTTGTCAGTGAATTCTTGTGAAACAAATTACCAAGTACATCAAGAAAATAACTGGAAAGGTTTTAAACATAGATTGAACAAATGAACAAAGAAAATTGGTTGAATAACAAATCAATCAAGGCACGAGTGCTGATGTGCATCCTGTTCCATATGCACAGACCCACGATCACTGGGAGTGTTGACCTAGCACATTAAGACACGACAGACCCACATTAAGATAACACCAACACTGTGTATACAGAATTGCAAGATAACAGCAACATTGTGTATACAGAATTGCAAGATAACAGCAACATTGTGTATACAGAATTGCAAGATAACAGCAACACTGTGTATATAGAATTGCAAGATAACAGCAACACTGTGTATACAGAATTGCAAGATAACAGCAACATTGTGAATACAGAATTGCAAGATAACAGCAACACTGTGTATACAGAATTGCAAGATAACAGCAACACTGTGTATACAGAATTGCAAGATAACAGCAACACTGTGTATACAGAATTGCAAGATAACAGCAACATTGTGTAAATAGAATTGCAAGATAACAGCAACACTGAGTATACAGAATTGCAAGATAACAGCAACTCTGTGTATACAGAATTGCAAGATAACAGCAGCACTGTGTATACAGAATTGCAAGATAACAGCAACACTGTGTATACAGAATTGCAAGATAACAGCAACACTGTGTATACAGAATTGCAAGATAACAGCAGCATTGTGTATTCAACATTGCACGATTTGACAGCTGACGTAACCTGATATTGACTTCCTCACGTCCCACACAATACATTACATAATGATTGTACTCGGTTAGAACAGCCTCGTGCCGTTGGCCGAATATTTTGTAAGAGGTTTGTGTGTGTGTGTGTGTGTGTGTGTGTGTGTGTGTGTGTGTGTGCGTGTGTGTGTGTGTGTGTGTGTGTGTGTGTGTGTGTGTGTGTGTGTATGCGTGTGTGTGTGTGTGTGTGTGTGTACTCACCTAATTGTACTCACCTAATTGTGCTTGCGGGGGTTGAGCTCTGGCTCTTTGGTCCCGCCTCTCAACCGTCAATCAACTGGTGTACAGATTCCTGAGCCTATTGGGCTCTATCATATCTACATTTGAAACTGTGAATGGAGTCAGCCTCCACCACATCACTTCCTAATGCATTCCATTTGCTAACTACTCTGACACTGAAAAAGTTCTTTCTAACGTCTCTGTGGCTCATTTGGGTACTCAGCTTCCACCTGTGTCCCCTTGTTCGCGTCCCACCAGTGTTGAAAAGTTCGTCCTTGTTTACCCGGTCGATTCCCCTGAGGATTTTGTAGGTTGTGATCATGTCCCCCCTTACTCTTCTGTCTTCCAGTGTCGTGAGGTGCATTTCCCGCAGCCTTTCCTCATAACTCATGCCTCTTAGTTCTGGGACTAGTCTAGTAGTGTGTGTGTGTGTGTGTGTGTGTGTGTGTGTGTGTGTATGTGTATGTGAGTGTGTATGTGAGTGTGTGTGAGTGTGTGTGTATGTGTGTGTGTGTGTGTGTATTCGTCTAGCGTCTAGTTTTCCTTTCAACCATCAATGTTTCAATGCAGTGACTATTCTCTCAGCTTTCTTATAAATACATATAAAATTTATATTTACATATAAAATTATGTATCGAATTAGCTTCGACAGCTTCTTCGGAGACAACTCCATTATTCACGACTCTTAAGATCATTCTGATATTTCTGTAAGTCATCTGTCTTTAGTTTCCATTTATCGAGTTTCGTATAGAATCTTTTACGTCGTAATCAGGTCTGTTGTAGTCCCTGTTTCCTCCAGTGTGATGAGGTCCTGTTCCGGGAGAGTCTTCGTGTGTAATTACCTTAGTGTAATTATTTAAGTGTAATTACCTAAGTGTAGTTACAGGATGAGAGCTACGCTCGTGGTGTCCCGTCTTTCCAGCACTCTTTGTCATATAACGCTTTGAAGCTACTGACGGTCTTGGCCTCCACCACCTTCTCACTTAACTTGTTTGAACCGTCTACCGCTCTGTTTGCGAAAGTAAAAGTTTTGTTTGGGCCTTTTGACTATTTGTATTTACTATTTGTATCTCCAGAATCGAGCTATTAGCTCTTAGACCCCGCCTTTCTGACCAATGAATTTTTTCCCTCTATTATGTCTAATACATATATTTCTCTTACACATACACACACACATCCCCAGGAAGCAGCCCATAGCGGCTCTATAACTCCCAGGTACCTATTTATTGCTAGGTGAACAGGAGCACCAGGGTGAAAGAAACTCTACTCCATTTGTTTCTGCCTCTACAAGGATCGAACCCGGACCCTTAGAACTACGATCCCAGAGCGCTGTTCACTCAGCCGCGAGGCCCCTGGTGTATGCCAGAGAGACGCAGGTTGGCACCTATATGGAGTGTGCCATATGTTGCACCTTGTTGCAAGGGAACGGTGGCGCAACACTCACAACTTGTAAGATTATGGCGCGCGAGTATACGACTGTAAGCGCGCGTGTTGTTGTGTTGCTGGAGCGATGGTCAGCCGAGTGTGTTACGGCCCCACGCCCACACCCGCCCCCACACGCCCACGCCCCCACGCCCACCCTCCCAGTCAGACCCCGCCCACCCACTAGTCGCCAAGCCCACTTTACGTGTGAAGTATTATTAATGTCATGGTCATTGTTATTACCTGGGCTGTGGTGTCGGACGGACTCGTAGCTCATAAATTAAAGAGCCAGTGTGAGGGTGCCATGGGTGTGTGTGTGTGTCTCTACCATTGGGTGTGAGGGTGCCATGGGTGTGTGTGTGTGTCTCTACCACTGGGTGTGAGGGTGCCATGGGTGTGTGTACCACTGGGTGTGAGGGTGCCATGGGTGTGTGCATGGTTGCCATGGGTGTGATAGTGCCATGACAGTGAGAGGATGGCACTAGGGTAAGGTGAAAGGCGTCTGTAGTTTGAGGTAAGAATGTACCTCATTAAAATGAGTGTCGGGCTGCTGAAATATGAGTCCATGGCCGTGGCGAGACCTCACAACGGGTGAATGGTGAGGGTGAGGAAGGGCTGGTGGAGGGTTCCCCCTTCCCCTGTCTTCCTCCCTCCCTCCCTTACT